GTGTGTGCGCGCGCGCGCTATATACCTTAGCTCCTCTCTTGGGTCCAATCGGCGGTGGCTTAGGCTTAGGCGTCTCTGCCTTGGCTGGTTCAGCGGTGGCAGCCGGTGGTTCCGTATCTTCAGCAGCCCTAACAACTAGTCTTGAAACTCTTTTGTTTTGGAAAGGTAAGGAAACCATATGGCACTTGACGGTGGTTGTGTTGGAAGTGACATTTGGTGTCACCAAGAATCTTGAAGCAGCAGATGCCATACTGCAACTTGCCATTATCAACGGATTTGAAGGTGTTGACTGTTTGAGATGATGAAGAAGCAGGTTAGTAATTGAAGTTCAAAGGTTTTGATTTGATGTGGTTTGAGGATTTTGAGTGAATGGCGTTGTTCTTGTTTGAGAGAACCAGTAGTGTGTTGCCACGTGGGTAGTCATATCCTTCTTCTGGATAGATAATGTTGCCCCACGCCATTTGGTTTCTAAACTTAGCCCGCTCACTACCTATCCAAATCTCTCGTTAGAATATACCTGATATTCCGATCATAATTCGTAGATTAAGGTTATATGTATAACTTTACAACATTTGTGTAAGCTTAAGTTTATTTTCCTACTTTCTTATATCATAATTTTTGACAAACTAAAAAAAATTAATTTATAAGTATATATAACATTCCGTATCTAATTATTATATAAATACTATGTATGCATAAAAATAGACAAAAGTGTAAAACTTGTTCCTATGGTTTGCAAAAAACTGATAGGGTCCAAAAATGTTCCAACTTGCATGGAATGTCCAAAATCAAAAAATTCATGTGAATTTAGTCTAAAAAAACTTGAAAAGACGATTATACCATTTTATTTTATTTTTTGTAATTTTTATAATTATTTCCATTTTAACTTAAAAATAAAAAGAAAAGAAAAGAATTATCCCCCACCCACCCCCTCACCGTTTTATTTCTCTCTCTTTCTCTCTCTCTCTCTCTCTCACGCACACACAGTACAAACAGTCACCCTCTTTATCTTTTCCGACCATCCCTCCAAAAAACCTTAAATCCATAATCAAACCCACAGTTGGTGGCTCATAGATACGATGAAAATTCAAAATGCCTTAAATCCTTAATTATGTTTTTTGTTTCTTTCGGTTTTCTCCAATTCCATGCATACTACAAGAATCTTCTAGGTTTAGGACTATGTTTATCGTCTCCAATGGCAAGCTTCAACAGAAAGTATCGATCCTACCACATTTTCAGATGAACCTAGATTCAAGATTCGGTTTTTGAAGATCTTAATGACTTTCAAGAACATTTACCTAAATCTTTGAGTTGATAACATGTATACAGGACCCTGTTGAGATTAGGGCTTCTTTAACATAAATATTCAAATCAAGATTACGATTCAAGAAGCGAAGCACCTACACTTTGAATTTAAAACCCGATTAAAGATAATGAAAAGAGTAATACATTCAAAATGCATAAACTTTAAAAACAGTCAACAAAGATGATAAAAAAAACATCAACTCAAACTCAGATCTCCACATACAAAATCGAAAATTCATAAATTATAGAGAGAAAAAATCAAAAACCACACACATCGCCCACCTTCCATTCACCTCAGGCATCAGGAACTTACCACAACCAGCATCGCCATCTCCACAATTGCATCCACCGGTGACTACAACTCATCTTAGATCTTTGATTGTGTGTGTATTGAACCAAGTTGAAAGCTTGAAATAAAAAATCTAGCTCAAATCTTGTTAATTTTGAGGGACCATATGACTATTAAGAAGAATAAAACCTAAATTAGTCGTAGGTATGGCGGTCCATAGAGCCGGATATGTATCCATGTGGAACGAAATAACTCTTCATCAGTGAGATGATTCCATCGAGGCTTGATCTATTAATGGTTTAAAGAAGAACATAGGATTAAAAAATGTTGCAGGTTCTTGATTTTTTATGTGTTCATCGATGATGAAGGTTGGGTCGTTTTTCCCTTTAAATTCTCAAAGTTTATGTGTGATGTGTGTGTGTTTGAGTTATTGATCAACCAAATACATGTTATTTGTAACTTCAATGTGTGTTTGTATGTGATTTTCTTGTATATGTATGTATGTGTTTTTCACTTTTCTTGCATATGAAATGAATAAGACAAACGTAAGAGAGAGAGAGAGAGAGAGAGAGAGAGAGAGATTGGGGTAGGAGGGTACAGAATGGATGTAGGTGGGTACTTTCTGATTTTTTATTTTAAAAAAGATTAATTCAATAATAATGAAATGTTAAGAAATCCAAAAATAAAATTAAAAGGTTAAGAAAGTATTTTCAAGTATTTCAGGGACCAAAATCACGGGAATGTTCAGATTTTGGACATTTCATGCAAGTTGAAATTTTTTTGGACCATAGCCACGGTTTTTTGAAAACTAAGGGACAAATTTTGCAGTTTTGTCCTTAAAAATATTAGATGATCATATTTTATAAACTATCACAAAAATATGAAAGTAAACTACTTAATTTTATAAAAGTTTTTTTTTTCTAAATGATTAATGATTGGAATATGTTTAATTAATAATACTTTCTTGATAAAGTTAATAAAAATATTACATGAAAAAAACAAAAAAAACAAGAAAAAACATCATAAATGGTCCCAGTTGTTTCCCAAAATTTGAAATTTAGTACCCGTGGTTTAGAAATGTCATAGCTGGTCTCTGTGCTTTCAAAACTTTTGACAGTTGGTCCTTATCCCTAACTCCGTTAAGTTTTGTCCGTTAACTGAAGGGCATTTTTGTCATTTCACTACCACAGGGACCATTTATGATGTTTTCTCTTATTAAAAAAAATAAAAAAATGAAATAATACTCTCTCTCCCCCCCCCCTCTCTCTCTCTCTCTCGAACACGAGCCAAAAATATCAGCAGCACCCCATCATCTTCCTCCCTCACCCTTCATCAAAAACTCCAAACACACACATACACTTGAAAAACTGAAAACGCACAGCATGATGTTAATCCTTGTCTCAAGATTAGAGGAACCCTAGAAAAATATATTGAAAAGCTACTACAAAATCCTCAATATTAAATATCCAAACAAGAATTCTGATTTTGTTACCTAGAAAGTTTGGGGTTTTAATTTGCAACAAAAAAGCTATAATCGGACCAGTAGGAACTTTTTAAACCCCCAATCTTCTTGACAATCAAATGAAGTGATTGCTCCAGGTTCTTCTTTCTTTTTCTTCGATCAATGACTTTCAGGTTCTTCCTTCTTTTTCTTCCTCCTCATGCTTGTTTCCTTCATCTCAATAGCCAAATCTAACCGCCTTTAATCCTACTCCAATCACTTAAACCTAAAAGTGACAAAGTGTATTCAATCGAAGATCTTGAAGAAGAATCAAAGTGTAGATGCACTACATATCTTGAAGAAGTATCCAAGTGTAGATGCCCTGCATCTATCGAATAGGAATCGATCGATGTTCTTCCCCAAACCAGTTATAAGTGTGTGTGTGTCCATTTCTAGATTTGTAAGTTTGTATGTGTATCGATTTTAGGTGTGTAATATGTAGATGTGTAAGTGGAGGAAGGGGATTGTCGGAGATGAGGGGGTTTTGTCGGTGATGGAGAGTGCCAAAGATTAATCGAGTCTCTGTATGTGTGTTGTGTGTATGTTGCGTAATCTTGAAGGTCCGATTTCAAATCCTTAGATCCATTGTAGTTACTCAAGTTCCTTGTACTTACACTCTCCCGATTTTCAGAAACATTTAGTTGAAGGTGTTGAAGATTTAGGTTAGGTATTTCATGGTTGTTAATGTGTGTTTGTGTGTGTTGATCATATTTTATATCATAATTTTTGACAAACTAAAAAAAATTAATTTATAAGTATATATAACATTTTGTATCTAATTATTATATAAATACTATGTATGCATAAAAATAGACAAAAGTGTAAAACTTGTTCCTGTGGTTTGCAAAAAACTGTAGATAGGGTCCAAAAATGTTCCAACTTGCATGAAATATTCAAAATCAAAAAATTCATGTGAATTTAGTCCAAAAAAACTTGAAAAGACGGTTACACCCTTTTATTTTATTTTTTGTAATTTTTATAATTATTTCCATTTTAACTTAAAAATAAAAAGAAAAGAAAAGAATTATCCCCCACCCACCCCCTCACCATTTTATTTTTCTCTCTCTCTCTCTCTTAGTATAAACAGTCACCCTCTTTATCTTTTCCGATCATCCCTCCAAAAAACCTTAAATCCATAACCAAACCCACAGTTGGTGGCTCATAGATACGATGAAAATTCAAAATGCCCGAAATCCTTAATTATGCTTTTGTTCTTTCGGTTTTCTCCAATTCCATGTGTACTACAAG